AAATGGAAAATTGTGAGAATCGCAAAGTAGAAAAATTTTCAACCTTTTCCTTGTTCGCAACTTTTGTGACTTACAAATTGTTGCATATGAGTTATGCGTCTATAGTTGATTAGCATTTGCTTTGGCCACAATCAAAAGCCAAGACAATAATCTGATGATGGAAAAGGCAAAAAAAGGTTGAGCAAAAATTGAAGGGCAACATTGTGGTAATGCCATGGTTTAATGGTGAAATACAATTGATAGGCAGATTGATGAAAATGAAGATGAAAGAAGAAGGAAAAAAGTTGAATCAGATTAGCATAAAAAGTTAAGCATTATAACAGTAAAATTGCGTTACATTTTTCTATCTTTTCTTCATCTTCATCTTTTCTCGTTACAATCTTTTTTCTCCTCGCTTCTTTCCTTACATGTACTACTTATTTCCTTGCCACTTTCCCAAGATATAATTTGATGTAATCCTCTAGAGCCAAAGATGTCAAAAGCCATGTAACTCAGTGTGTATATCAACGTAAAGTTGAATATACAGTGAGAAGAAGAAGAAGAAAAAAACTTTACTTTTGGCTTTTCTTTTATCATTGAAACCTTTCTCCATTTTTACCACAGAAAATGCAAGAAGGACAAAAAATGGATTGATTAAAGGTACACAATATGATACAAAGAAACAAAAATAATAATAAAAATGAAAATAATAAGTTACTAGATAAGTAGATTTACTGAATATTATATCAGCTTTTATTCGCTTCTTTACTTTTCTCGGTCGTTCTTCTTCTGCTTTCATTTATATTCATCTCTCTCATCGTCATCATCATCAGATGAATGTCATTCATCCCAACATTATAATTCAACATGACAACAATTTACTTGTTGAGTTGCAAGGCCAAAGATATAATGTTTGACACTAAACAACATTACTCAATAAGATAGAGATTTACTGATTTACTCGTCAACTTGGACGCTCTTCTGGACAAGTAACATCAACCTAGTAAGCAACACTTTTGGGTTTACCTCTGACTTGGATTGGGTTGCTTCTGTAGCTTCACAAATCTGGTTAAAAATCATGACCCTGGGTTTGGGTTGAGACTCTTGGAGAATCCAAATTTTAGCTTTTCATTATGGAAATGAAGTGAAATGCTTAAAAGCTAATTGAACGACAATTGGCTGCATTTTATGGTTAAAGCTTGAAACTGTGAAGGATAACACGGCAAAGTGATGAATTACTATTTAATCTAATAATGAGAGGCAAAAAATTGAAACATTATACTTAGACAACCCATTTAGAATCAATAGATTGGTTAATTCAATTTAACCTGTCAATCCCAATCAAGTCATAATGAAGA